CCGATTGCCTTTTTTATCAGAGCTGTTTCAGGTTAATGTTGGTTAGATTTTGCTCTGCTGTAAAAAAGGAACAAAGGATGTCTGTTCCTTCAGCTGTACATAAAGTAACATTCCCCAATTGTTGGATTGGCCTTGAAATTACCCTCTCACAGAGCAATTTAAAAAAAAACCTGCTTTTCAAATATATACAAAAATGTAATTTTTTGAGGGATAGATGGGCATCCATTTGTTGAACAAGAATTACTTAAAGATGGAAATTCTGGGAGTGTTTTTGTTGGATAGTTAATATAGAAACCAGCAACATTGCATTGTGGTCTGTCTGCCATTGGGCCAAGTCACAATTTCTATGTCAATAAAGTTTTTAAAAAAATAATTGTAAAAAGCTGTACATTGCTAAACATTTATCACTACTTTTACCTTGCTGTAATCATTTCAACTCAGCGCTTTACATAGTTGAAAGCTACTAAGATTACTTTTGAGGCTGCAAAATCCCTTTCACCTCTGCTGGATCTGTGTTGACACACTGTAAGGTGCCAGGGTTTAGCCTTCTGTATCAGGGAATGTACCAGATGTCCCATTCTTGTAAATATTCAAGGTCAATCCACAATATTGAACCATTGGTGACAGAAGTATGTTGCCCTCAGGCTCTGGCTTACTGATTTGTTAGCTCATAGCACAGCACTAGTGGAGAAAGGCTCTTTGCAATGAACTGGCATGCTAAATTACTGTCAGATAATGATGGGCAGCAAGTCCTTGGCTGTTATACATGGCAATTGAGGCAAGCTCTCGCAAACAAGTAATACTAAGATCATTACATCATTCTGCCTGCACACCATGATGAGGAAGGGGCCTTGAAAGGGGAAACTTGCCAGACGCTTTCAGAAATTCTGAGTGAATTGAGCATTTTACATAGCCTATAGCCAAGGAGTAGTTACACACAGGAAGACCTCTGTGGAAATCCCAAAATGATTTCAGCTAACTCTTCTCCACACCTATGCAGAGATAAATGCCACACAGCCCTTATGCAGGGATGACAGCTTTGCACTGTAGCCTTCTATTGCTCAGCTTGTGGAAACTTTAGCTGGGTGCTTCCTATGGTTCCCTGGTTCAAATGAGAACTTTCCTCCCGGCATCCGCAATGTTTGGTCAACCCAGGCCTGTTGCTAGCATTCCATCAGGGCAGAATTGAACCACTTCCCACCTTGTAAGGACATTCAAGTATACAATTGGACAGCAAGAATTCAGAGAGACAACCTATACATCACTCAGGAGCTAGTAGTATGAAGAAAACTTTGTATGTTGTAGCATTTTCACAGCTGTTACTTTTGTGTGACGGCTGGCCAAGGTTTTAAACCTTCCCTAAATTTTGCACACCCACCGATTTATATTGCCCCGTTTCAAGTAATAGTTTATACTCGGATGGCTAAGAATGCATGTGTATTTACCTATGACTAGTTGAACTAGTTTGCCAAATTAATATGAATGGCAGAGTTTGTGTAGAACCTTAAAGGAACCAATCCATTTCACTCTCTCTGAATCTTCTGCTGTTACCTCCCTCCCACTTTAGTACAAAGGTAGGAAAAAAATATCACTTGCTCTGCATTTTAATTACAGCAACAGTTTAAATATGCTGCAGGAAAATAACTTTCAAAAAAAGCAGTATGTGTATATTTACATAATATCTCACCCCACCGCACCGTCTTTATTTACACATTGAGGAGAAGCTACTGAGAGTGATTAGCAATTACTCCCTAAACAGGATCTCTTCTTTCTTTCCAGCAAAGCTAACTTGACTGGCAATTTCATTTCTTGGAAGGGCTATGGAACTCCTGGATGAGGCAGGTGCCAGACAGAGGCGCATACAAAACAAAGAAGCAATACTTAGGAATCTGATGGAACACTTTCAAGAAGAACATTCTTCCAAAATGATTGTCCATCTGACAGCTGTCCAGAAGCTAAGCAGGTATCACACACTGATCAGCTGAGGAAAGAGCTCCTTGGCAAAGGCCTCCTCCCAGCTGCAATCAGTGTCCACAGGAGAGGACAGGTCACTGAACGGGGAGGGTGACCCTTCGTAGCCTGAGTCACTAGCTGCATCCAGCAGCAAGAGAGGCCTCTGGTCTGAGGAGAGCAGGCGGGAGAGGCCCAGGTCAGGCAAAAGCGTATCTGCAGGCTCCTCCTTCACAGAGACGGGGGCCTGCAGGGAAGGAGAAGCCACCACTTCCTCCATGAGTGCACTGGTCTGGGTGGCCGCTTCTGATATGATCTCCAGGAAGAATGGCTTGGTATATTCATGATCAAAGCGGATCAGTTCATTAATGGTATCCAGCTTGAGTGGTGCAGGCCCCAAGGAGGGACTGGTGGAGTCTGGTAAGGGAACAGCTGCTTCTCCACACATTTCCTGCTGCAGCTTCTCCAAGGAAGTTGTTTGGGAGCTGCTGCAGTGCAGGAACATGTCTGGATCCAGACTGTCCAAAATGCCCAAGAGGAGATCAGACTGTAAGAGAAGACACACACACAATTTTGCCAGTTAGGACAGGTGATTCAGAGAACACCCCCCCCCCGATATTTGCACCTAGCTGCACATGAAACAGGAAGGCCTACTTTTACCTACCTCAGCATCTGAAGAAGCCAGGCTGTCTGTGCCCAGAGGGAGGCCACCAACTGCCCCTTCCTCCTCTTCCTCCTCCTCTCCCCCACTGTGGAGGCAGAAGACTGCTGGGCCTGTCCCTGCTGCGGAGGAACACGTAGTCTAAGTGCTGCGGACTCAGAGGACCCGGTCTCTGCCCCCCCAGGGGCGATGCTCGCTGTCTCCTCCTGCGATTCCACCTGCGGGGAAGGGGCCAGGGTGAGAATGGCCGAGGCGGGCGCCCAGGCGCCCTCCCCCCCCGCCGGCCGGCCTGCCGACCCTCACCTTCAGCGCGGGAAGTCCGAGACAGAGGCGCAGATCGTGGTTCTCGCGGGACAAGCTCTGCGCGCGCTCCCGCAACCGCCGGTTCTCGGCCAGCAGCTTCTGGTTCTGCGAGAGAGAAGCGGTAAGGGGGCGCCCGCCCGGCCACCAGTCCTCCCTTCCCTTCCCCGCCCGGGGCGCCGCCGCGCCGCCCGCCCGCCCTACCTACCTCGGCCTCCAGCTCGACGGCCTGCCGCTCCAGCTCGCCCATGCGCGCCTTCTTGCGGTCGCGCGCGCTTTGCGCCGCCACGCGGTTCTTCAGCTTCCTGGAAGGGAGACGAGAGAGGCGGTGAGGGGCGTCCGCGTCCCCGATCGCGCCGCGCAGCGCAGGGTCCCTCGGTCGCGGCCTCACCGGCGCAGGGCCTTCTCTTCCGGGCTGAGGTGCCCCAGGCGCTGCCGCTTACGGGGCGGCGGGGAAGGCGAAGGGGCCCCTGGAGCAGCCGGCGCGGCCGTCGATGCGGCCGGCAGCAGGAGGAGCCGCGGCGGCGCTGCAGGGCCCGGCAGCGGAGCCATCCCGGCGGCGGCCTCGGCCTCCTCCTCCTCCTCCACGACCGACAGGCCCCCGAAACGACCGGCTCGGACGGTGCGTGGAGCCGTCTGCGCTTGCGGTCCTCCGCGGCTTCCGCGCATATCTCACGTCGTGGCTATCCCTGATTGGCTGGCGCCAGGAGACACCCCCACGGGGGCGCTTGCCGATTGGCCTCTGGCAGGCAGGGGCGGGATGCGGTTGCGTCGGAGGCGCCTGACGCAAGCCTCTGGCTTTCGCCTAGCGCCACGCTGGCCGCCCGCAGCCGCGCAGCCGCAGAATGACGCCGGCGGAAGGGGGGGGGTCTTTGTTCGTCAGTGCGGATGAGGGTTTCCTTCCGCCCTCGGTTGCGTCGAGCTCGGATCGGGCGGGTCTCGCGGAACCGGTTCCTTGGAGGAAGCGGCGGCCTCCGTAGATCCTGATTGGGCGGGGTTCCCTGTAGTCAGCGGAGCTGCCGGGCTTAGTCCGGGGAATTCCAGTTCAATTACGCACCGGGGACGTTTCGCATCTCCGGATGTATAGCGAGAACCCCAAATTAGCCGCGTGAAGGAAAATGCAGCGCAGTGAAGAGCGCAGCTACGTGTCCCTCGCGGGCGCAGCCACTGCCCTCCCCGATCTCTGCCGCTGCCGGAGAGCGCTGTTGGACGGCTTCCGTCATAGCAGGAGGTCTGCCAGGTCGCGGCCTTGACTCAGACTGAGCCCGCAGTCCCTGCCCTGGGGAAGGCAGCAGGCACGAGTCGGGGGCGCTCGGTCAGCCCTTGCTGCGGTGGGTGGGCGCCGGCAGAAGCTTCCGACGGGCGAGCGAGAGATGCTCGGCAGGGTCCTTAGCCTTGGCGGTCGCCAGTTTCTGGCCCTCGGCCATCGGATGCCGCTTTGTCTGAAATGGGCGGCGGATCCTTGGAGAGAAGTCCCCACTTCAAAAGCAGCGATTCCTCTAAATTCTAATCCAGCGTTTTCAGACTATTTTATTGAAAACACCTATGAACTCTAGTTTGCTATACTTGATCCGCCACTTACGATGTTTCAAATAAGATTTTCAAATTTGCAAAATCTAAATGGACCGGGGAATCTTGCAGGCCCAGAGCAGAAGATACGTTGCAGCCAACGCTGGTTGCTTACAGCAGTTGAACACCACTAATCTCACTTCCTTTCGCGGGCACCGCCGCCCGGGCACTACCAGGCTTCTCTAGAAAGAGCCGTTGCTCCCTGATAGGTTATCCGCCTATCTGTCTGATATTTCCTCCACGTATTTACAGCCCGCCCCGTTTTAGAGGACTCCGGGCGGGAGCCTACAGAGCCTCCCGAGGGAAAGGGGTAGAACAAGAGGGTGACAGGGCCGTATCCGACGCGCAACCTGAGCGGCTTCTCCGCCGGCAGGACTCGATTTTCAGCCACCAGCAGAGGGAGCAGAGGACTGGGGGGGGGGGGCGAACCGAAATGGTGTAAGGTCACAAGCCGCCCGCAGACCTTTCTTCTCCTCGACTTCCTTTGGGTTTGATGGTGCAGAGGCTAGCGCTCCTCGGGCGCCCGGAGGAGTCTGCGGGTCCGGCGCTGGACTTCCGCCTCCGAGGCCCTCGGTCTCAGGAAGTCTGCAGCCCGGTGTCCTGCCTGCTGGCGGATAAGGGGCGCCGCTCCGGGAGCCTGCAAATTCCGCTGCTAAGAGCCGAGAACCACACCGGGCCCCCGTCCCGCGCTTAAGTCGGCCGCTGGGCAAACCGGTCAAGAAAGCCCGCCCGCCAGGACGACTCCATCCCTTTTTGGGCTCCCCGTTTTCTGATATTCCAAACCCTTGAAGTGGCTCCCCTGGAATGTCCGCGGGCCGCGCCCTGCGCCGAGCAAGCCCCCCCTCCAATTGCGGAAGAAGACCGGGCTCTCCTCCAACGCTGACGCTACTGCTCAGACCGGAGCCCTCTGGCAGGAGGAGGCGAGTCCAGGAGGCGCTGCCCCGAAAGCTGCCTTCTTGTGTGGCTTTCTAGACAGCCGCCGGCCGCAAGCTGGGCTTCCACCGCCAGATCCCCCTCACTCCGGAGGACCCCTGCCGGGAAACGCAACCCCCACGTTCACCCTTTTCGGGCCGGCCAAAGCTTCGGGTCCCCCAGCCCCGCCTAGACGAAGCTACTCGCCAGGTCCCGCGCTGCCCGGCCAGTGGGCGGCGGCGGCGCGGCGGGTCGGCCCGGCCGGAGGCGGGGATAGCGCAGCCCCGTCACGTGGAGCGGATGAAAGGGACGCGGCGGCTGGGCCGGGAGGAGGAGAAGGAGGAGGAGGGAGCTGCCGCCAGCCCGCCGCCCCGCCGCCGCCGGGAGACGACGCGAGGCCGAGGCGGAGGCCGGGAAGAGGAGAAGCCGCCCGGCGGGGTAGAGAGGCCCGGCGGCACCTGCGGAGCGATGCGCGATCCCGGCCTGGCGCCCCCCTCGCCACCGCTGCCCGGGGCCGGCGCGGGGGGCCCGCCGGCGCGATGAGGCCGGGCCCGGGGCCGCTGCTGGTGGTGGCGCTGGCGGCGGCGGCGGCGGCGGCGCTGGGCCGGGAGGCGGCCTTCGTGGAGGTGGTGCTCTTCGAGTCCAGCCCCGGCGGCGACTACACCACTTACACCACGGGGCTGCAGGGCCGCTTCTCCCGCGCCGGGGCCACGCTCAGCGCCGAGGGCGAGATCGTGCAGGTGAGCGGCGGCGGCGCAGCAAAATGGCTTTGGGTGGGACGGCGGCGGCCTCTGAGCATCTGCAGAGCGCGCGGGCCCGGAGTCCGCGTGGCGCCCGGGCAGGAACGGCAGCTCCTCGGCGACCGCCCCGGCGCTTTCCGCCGACTTGGGGCGTTTCGGGAGAAGGCGGCTCTTGGACCCCTGAGGCTCTCCCAGGCTGCCCTGGAGCAACGGTCCTGGCTCGCTCGGCCCTCCCCGGGGGTCTGGCCGGAGCCCTGGAGCCCGATCCAGGAAGGCAGCTCCTCTGCCTGAACGGGGTCGCGGGTGGGCTGAAGAGGCCGCTTTGGGACCCCCCCTTGAGCCACGGATCGCCTTCGGGAGTCCGGAACCAAGAAGATGGGGCCAGTGCGGGTGGTTGCTGCTCTGCACGGGTAGCCATCCTGGCTGAACGTGGGTTTCGGGTTAGGAACCCGGGAGTTGCGTGTGTGTTTGTGGGCTCCATTCCAGAGAAGCGAGGCCCGCAGACGCGCTGGGGACGGCCCAGGATGTAAGCGGTGATGCGGTGACGATTCCCGCTCCCGAGCGATGAAGGGCAACATTTGCCCCCGCGTGATCAACCTTTTCCCCTGGGAGTAGGAAACATGGGCTGTGTGTGTGTGTGTGTGTGTCTGTGATGTGTTGAAGTCAGATCTGTAGAGGAAAGGTTTGCGGTGGAAGTTACTGCTCAGAGACTGCTTCATCAGGGCTGCTCCAGTTTTGAGAGGGGCTGGATTAGGAAGAAGTGTTTCCCTGCAGTATCCCCGCAGAGCCCAAAGGCTGCCGGTTAATTCTAACAATTTGCATGAAAAACGTGTAATCGCCTTATTAAAACTCGGCTGCTACTGGTGAACCTTTTTCCTTTTCTCCTCCTCCTCCTTTGCTTTTGGTGAATGCAGCTTCTAGGGGTGCTCAGCCTCCCCCCCTTTTTTCCTCTGCCTCAGATCAGAGGCTCACATGTTGAAGCCGGCAGTGCTAGAGGCTAGTTCCTATCTGCGTGACAGCATTTTTAATTTAACAGGACCAGCTTTGATCTTGCATATTTATAGGCAGCCTCAGATCACTCCAGCCTCTACTTCTTTATACTGTAACTGAAGTTCTTGCTTTCATCTTGAAGCCTTTGTGGATACATTGTTTATTTTGGGCACTGTGGAAAATGGAAGCCAAAGCAGGAATGAAAATAAGGCAAGAGGCTTTCTCAAAACTATATATCCTCTACAAACGCGAACGTGGCTGTGTTTGAATACAGTGGGGTACTAAGGCCTCTGCGTTGTAGTAACATGGCTGCCTAAATCTAGTCTGGGATTTTTCAGAAGGCCCCTTCTGCAGGGTGGGGGGGTGGGGGGCTGCAGCTTTGGGCTTGGTTAAGGAAGGGGCTGATGTTTCTGACCACTTGAGCAGAGTTTCCCTGAGGCTTCATCAGTTGCACAGGCGAATGTTGGGGCTAATTAGTCCTACTCTGAGAGCAGAGGTCTGCACACTAGGCCGGACTCTTCCTGAGGAGGCCCAGGAGATGGAGGCTGCCCTTAAAGAGGCATCCACACAAGGAAGGTGGCTGGCAGCACAGCAGCAGTCCTAGCTGCTCTCATGGAGGTGCCAGGGAAGAGACCCCTCCTGGCGTGGGGTGGGAGAGGGGGCGCCTTTTTCTGCTCTGAGAGGCCCAGGGTGGCTTGAATTGGGAAGTCATCCACCTTCTTTTTCCCAGCAGCTGTGAGGTAGGAGAGATATTGAGAAAATTTAATTTCAGCTTTCCATCCGCTTGTTATGGAGTAGGAGCATTGAAACATGGCTGGGCACATGCTTCAGAGTTCCCTTTAGCAAAGCCAAAATTGTTGTTGGTTTGGCTTTGGCTTATACATTGGGTGAACTCGACCATTGCTGTTTGCAAGTCAGGATTTGTAGCTCAGGAATTCATAGAAAAAACCCAGTGTCACCTAGACTCTGTAGTGTGTGTGTCTCTCCTTCCCACTGTTTAGCTGTGGGTCAGGTATCCTAGTGTCTTTTTCATTCCCTACATAAATGATAATTGTGGTCAATGCTACTGATGTACAGAGCAATCTCAGAGCTCTGATCATCTGCAGTGCCAAAGAGGGCAGCCATCGGTACAATTCCAAGATTCAAGTGGGGAGCATTGCAGAGCAGGAGAGAATGAAGGGGGAAAGTGCCTGGGTGCCTCTTGTGAATGGTGCTTCAGATTTGGGGTGCAGGGTGCCGCCTCCCATCACCCTCACTCTCCTCCTGGCTTCTTGTCACCATTTCCATTGGTTTTGATGACAAAGCCGTTCAGACAGGTCTCCGACACTGATCTGAGTGCTCTGCCTGATGTGTGTGAGAGAAAACGGCTTTTCACATTCTTGTTGGCTACGTGAAGTGGGATGTTCTGTCACAGTAGCAGCATGAGTTTCACACTGGGGCTTGTGTTGATTCCACAAGTGAGATTGTTGGGTTGAGCCTTTCGTTTCTCAAAGGGTGCATTGGTAGTGGTAGAAGTTAAGAGCATGGGGTAAGCTGCCCTTCGGGACAGAAGGATGGGCAACGCCTATAAAAAGAGCCAGCTATGCCAGTAGCAGTGAGGCAGATCTACTGTGGCAGCATCTTCGCTGGGAAATCCAGAGCACACATTATGGAGGCAGCTGTAATTGTAGGACACCTTTTCTGGGATTGTATCCAAAGGCATGGATTTCTAAAGTTCCTCACCTGGAATCTTTGAAGCTACTGGATGCACTGTTACTCCACACGTGGGTGGGTGGGGTGCTGGATAAGTTTTGTTAAAATGGTTTCCTTATGGACAGAAGTGATAGCATCCTGAGGAATTTGCACAGGGGTTCTGGGAAGTTTGTGCCTAGAGTGGTGGTGCACCTGATGCCTGAACCTTACCCCAGAGCCACCTACAGCCATCTGATAGGTGTAAACATCCCAGGAGAGCTCAATGGCATTTTTTCTCCCTTCAGTAGTGGGCAGGGGAGGAGGGGAGTGTTACCCCTTTCACAAGGGTGAGTATCTGGTCCATGAGCTGCACAAACCTCTTAATTAAGCAAGCCCTGAGGGCATGGCTGTGGGATCTGTTTTCCTAATGGTGTGAATAGATTTGGAAATCCTGGGGCCAGTGCGCTGGGGACAGAGGCATATTCTGGATTGGGACTGCTTGACCTTTTAACAGTTGTGCAACCATAATCGCAACAACCTTGAGTTTGGTTTCCAAATAATGGGAAGTAATACTAGCTGTGGAAACAACTGTGCCTATACTAATTGATAGATTTTGATGATTATTCTTGCAATCTAATATTACTTTTATGTTTTAATATCTCTAAAATCAACTGGATTTCCCCCAAATTGAGGTGGGAATAAATCATTTTAATAATAACAACAACAATAGCAATAATTTCTGCTTTGATTAGACCAAGTTCTGGATGTCATGCTGTAAAACGAATTGGGCAACCTGCCCCCAGTTTAGCCACAGGCAGAGACGAAGAGCAGGGGATTAGAAATAGTCCTGTGAAGGGAGACTGAAGGAGCCGGCCATGCTTAGCCTTGGAAGACAAGACCGAGGGGAAAATGCAGTGCACTTCAAAAGGCCGAAAGAATGTTACACTGAAGGGGATGATCCCTGTTCCCCATGGCCCCAGAATGCGGACAAGGAATTTCTGAGTACGGTACATAGATAGTTGGTGGGGGCCTCTCTCAGCTCTCCAGTTCCACAAGTTAAGGAAGGACAGAACCTGTTGGAAGGTGTTCTTCTGGTGCCAACTTTTGTCCTTGGTTTTGTTCCCTGCACTGCCCGCTTCTGCTTTCCAGAAAGCCATCTTCTTCTTACTGATGAGCTAATTCCTGGGCGACTTTCTGCTGTCAGCTTGGTCCTGGGTGTGGTGGCCAGGGGAGGGCAGAGGGCTGCATATGTGTGTGGGGGGGGGGCAATGGGACCATAGTGTATGATCCTTGGGCTTCCTCTGGACCACCAGTGCCCCTTGGCCTTCTGGTGAATGGAGAGGTGACCTCCCCTCCTGGAGGGAGAATCCTGCCAGGCCTCTTGCTTGCGTCCTCTCTGCCTTCCACTTGGCACAAGTTAGTGTGGAGCATCACTTTGGCTCTGGACTGGAAGGGCTTATCCCCTTCCCCTCCAAATGAGCACAGGGGCTCTCCTGGATTGTTCTGTGGGTTCCAGAACCTTTACTGATTGCCCATCTGATGGTGAGGTGGGCAACAAAGGCACAGCCAGAGGGCTCCAGCACAAGACCCACAGTGTTCTTGGAACAGGTGCCTTCTCTGGACCTCTAGCCAGCCTGACTATTTAGAGGGCTTCTGCAGGAACTGGGGTTCGCCTTAGTCACCAAACTGAATTCCTGAAGCACCGCACCAAGCTGTTCGAACCTAGTGACCTCTTTGGAGGCTCCCCAGCTGCCTTCCCTCTTTTCCTTCTCCCTAGCCTAGCCCGTCGGCAGTGGTGGAAGATGCCTGCGTTCAAAGGGTTAACTCCTCCCTGTGCTTTGCAAGCAGCTGGCTCCTTGCTCTCCTTGCTGGGCTGTACAAAAATATACTCCCGCTTTGAAGTGTAGTCAGAGGTGGATAAGGGGAAAATCTGGACTGAACTGGACTCCTGGCTGCCTCCCCCCTTAGCCCTGGCTAACATGATGGCAGGACTGAGCCAGACGCTGACCCACCCCTTCTCTGCTGCCCCAAAGCACCACAGACAGCCACGGCTTCCTTCCTCCAGCTCCCTTTCTCCTTGTGTCTGGACTGGCCGGGGAGTCCATCAGTGGGAGGGGGCAAGGCTCCTTCAGATGGAGCATGGAGCGCTTCTGGTAGCCAGTCTGCTTGCCCCCACTTCTCATGGGTGCAGGTCTCTGGGGAAGATCCGGCTTCTGCTCTGATTCTTGATGAGGTTTAGACCCAAGGGCTTTGTTGGGATTTGTGGCAGGGTCTCTTGTGGTGCAAGGAATGGTTTGGCCTGTCAGTGAATGTCCTCCTGGGCCTTCAAACTTGTTGGCCCAGCCCATGTGGGTTCTCTGCCCCACTTGTTGGCATCATCCAGGCATCCGGTATTAGCTGAGCTTCTTTGGCTGGGGCACTCCAGCTCCCTCATGACTTGTCACCCAGCACCATAAGACAGTGCTGTTCCTTAGAACAATAGTGAGGAATTTCCAATGGGCCAAGTGTGGCCACTGGACCATTGTTGGCTTCCATGAGTGATACTGGCTTGTCATTCTTTGCTGGAGAAGAACTGATTTTGAGGGCCAAGTTTTTGGCAGTCCAGCAGTTCTTTTGCAGGTTTTTAATCAAATCTTCATCTGGCAGATACTTTCAGGAAAAGTTTGATTTGGACAATGGGCAGTTGGTTTGATTCAAAAGGTAACAAAAGCAAGTAATGAGTGGAACAGCAAAGTCTGACCATTGGGTGCTCCATCCCCCTTGCTGGGGGGTGGTTCTGGAGGGGTAAGAGGGGGTGCTGCTAATTGATCTACAGGGAGGGAGATGGAAGGGAGGAATGGAGTGGGGAGCAGGTTCCTCATGACTGAGCGAAACTATGGCTTTCAGCCACTGCGGGGAAGTCAGAGCAGCAACAGCAAATGGCTGCCATGATCTGGGTCCACGTTGGAGAGATTAAAGCCCTTCTTGCCTCACCGCCCTCATCTGCCTTAAGTAGCTGAGAGGTTTACTTGTTCTAGTCGGGCATCTGGAGGGAATTTCTGCCTTCTTCCCCACGCAGACCCATTGCAACTCTTCTGCAGCTGGTCCTCCTCCTTTTTCAGTAGCCGTCTCTGCCTGGAGATCAGAAGGGGGCGTCCTTGGACTCCCGAGCAGGCGGGATGGAATTTGTAAGGCCTCTGATAGGAGGAACGAGTGAGGAACATATTAGGCTATATGTGAAGAGCCCACATTGTGCTTATATGCTCTGTTGTTTAAACTTTGAGGAATGGAAATATGTCAGGTATATAAAGCTTAAACTCAAAGGCTCCTGACTAGAGAAACAATTGTCCCACTAGAGAAGCTTGCTCACAGTTCAGTCTATAGCTTTTCAGTAATTCTGCAGTTTGTGTATAAGTACTTATTTCCATATGATCATTTAGTTCTTTGGGTCTGGTCCAGAAGAGCTGCTTCAGAATGTGTGGGATGACAAATCCTGACTCCAGCATCACTCCGCAAGAGCGGTTGCTGTACGGGTCCTGCTTCAGCTGCACCATCTTGAAAACAAATGTGGCTACTTTGTTTCATCGCAAAACAGGTTGACACTTTTACCAAACCTGAGTCCAAAGCATTGCTCGGCCTATGATCCTGGCTCATTGGTTCAGCAGCTGTTGTGGAAGTCTGGAGTCATCTGACTGGAGAGCAAAGTACCCTGGAACACACACACACACCCCACACACATGCACACACGCACACCCCTCTTGAGGAAGATTCCCTGCCCTTCCCACAGACTGGGCTCAGGCCAGTCTGCTTCTTCTCCCTTCCTATCTCGGCTGTGGCTGGGGGGCAGAGAAAGAGAGCTGCTGGGTGGGGAGGTGTTTTCTGGCCACAGTTGGGCCATGAGTGTCCAGGCCTGGTGATGAGCTCCTGTCTAAGCAGGAATGGGTGCTGCTGCTCCTGGGATGCAGGGCCCCAAATGTACCCAAGGCAGAGGAGATGCTATCAGCTCTCCTCCCTCTTCTTTGCCCTCGAAGGATCAAAGCTATCCGCCACTGTGGCCGGGGCGCTTCAAAGCCAGGAAGGCAGAATGATACAGAGCGTGCTCCCTGATGCAATCATGGCAGCTTGTGAGACTGGTTTCTGGGTTTTGAAAGGGAGAGACAAAGACATCTTTGTTTGCTTCGGAGGGGGGCAGGGAGGAGGGAGTACCTGCCAGGCACCCAAGTCACCGGCAGCCCACAAAGGAAGCCTTTTCCTTCTGTGACCCTGGCTGGACCTGCAAGGGAATAGTCTAGGTGAGGTTCTGCCCCAAGTTTGCTTCTGGTGCACTTATGTCAGAGACATCTGCAGTCCTGCCTTCTAAGGTGAAGCAAGTGTGCCCCTAGAAATAAAGGTTTAAATGTCTTGATTCAGACCCTCCGCTCAAATTTGTGTCTCCTGCATCTTCCTGCTGCGGTGTTGGGTGGCTTCTACCTCCTTCCCCGCCGTCCAGCATGACAGGATTCTTCCACCTGGCAAACTGCAGAATGGGGGGTCTCCTTGTGAAGAGGGGACATTACCCAGCTCACAGCAGGTGTGCATACTCTGGAAAGCATGCCACCAGGAGGGCTATCCTGGCCTCCTGGTGGCATGCAATTCAGTTTTATTAATGGTTTGAACATATTTTGGCAGAATATACAAAAAAAAAAAAAAGAATAACAAACATCTACCAGGCCATATCTCCAAGTGTTTGTTTTCCCTGCTAAATTTAAATTCTGGAATCTGTTAAAAAAAACAACAGGTATTTGAGCATAACCTGGAGAGAATCTTTCGTTGCCACCTGAGAAGCCCACATAACCTTTCCTTAATTCATTAAGCCTGATTCCATCTTCTGTGCCATTAGTGGACTTAGGGGAATAAGGGTCTGGGGGCATGGACAGTGGTTGCGGGTGCCTGTCCAGGGGGCTTTCCCATTTTTTGCAGTCTGATCTGCAAAGACTTGCTCGTCAAACAGGAGAGCAAGTCCCCCCCCCCACATATGGCATGTGTGCCTGGGGGTATCACCATCCAAAGGACAAGGCAGTCTGGACCTAGATTTTGGCTGGTGTCTAAGTTGTGTGTCCTTTCTGAAGTTATTGTACTTTAAGCCTTTGGAAATCTTGTGATCTTCAATTACATTTCCTTAAGCCCTTTGACCTGTACATTTCAGGATGGCCCGTGAATTAATTGTTCATTGTGCCCTTTTCAGAGCAAATGACTCCTTTTTCTAACCGAATGGGTTTTCTGAGGGCTTAGAGCAGTATTCTCGATGACTGTTTACTGATGGGCAGACAAAACTGCTGGATTATCCAGGGCGATATAGGTGGAAATTAGAAGCATGTTGTATAATGTTTTGGTTGTGTTTTTTGGGGGGGAGAGGTGTAGGAAGATGACAACCCCAGTAGTACTGCTGGTGAGATTGGGAGGTGTGTGTGAGGGTATGTGATTAATCTGTGAAGCCAGGCGAGGAAGGAATTGTATGCCTGTCCCAGATCCAAAGCTCAAAGCTGGTATCGAAAGTGACCGGTGGCCTTAGCTGGTTCGACCCTCCTCGTTTAATGCTCAGAGCAGGGATGAGAATGGTTTACAAGCCAGTATGGTTGTGCATTTCCTCCCTTTCCTTCAAATTATCCCTTAGGCAGAATTTCTTGGAATTGGCTCAAAACCTAGCTCTTAGCTTAGCTTTTGTGGCTGACTGAAAAAAGATATGGAAAATATATTAATTTGAGCCATTTCCTGTGTATTGATAGCTTATTGGAACTCAGATGTAGTTATTTCATGGTTTCAATTTTAGAAGGGTTAGAGTTTACTGTTCAGAGCAGGGTGTCATCTGGGAACCCCCGGAGGTCCTTGAGGCTCTTTCAAGGGGTCTGCAAAGTCAAATAAGTACATATTTTAAAATGTTTCAGTTTAATTTCTAAAACAATAAATATTGATAGTTCTAGCTCACATAAAAAAAGCTCTTACGGGTCCTCAGACATCCAAAATATTGAGAATCACTGATCTAGAAATTAAAACATCTTGGAGTATATCTCACTTTTTACGCAAAACCACCTGCCAGTTAAATGGACTGAAAGAATCTTTGCAATTTAGGATTGGTGGCTGCATTTATAACCTGAATGCCAGCTGGGTGGCTCTGATGACATCATACTGGTGTTTGAATGTGAAAAATTGTTTGGGGTACTCAAGAACCATCTCAAAAATTAACCTTTGCCAAGGAATGAGAATGAGAAGGAAAGTGTAAGTAGAGAACAAAAGTAATGGTTGTCTTCTAGAGGTGCAGAGGAAACATTCTGGAAGGGATGACACTCTGATCCAAAAGTATTGGTCAAAGGAAAGGTAATTTGAATGTTGGTTGGCTACACACAAAGGCAGCACTGAAGACACCAACCCTGCGGAGAAGCCTCTCTGATTCGCTATAACCGTGTGGACGGACAATCTGCTGTTAGCCACTGTAATCAAGATTGCTTTAGATAGCAAAGCAAAATTACAAGAAGGAAGGAAAAGAAGTGGAGCCGTCCTTTCTGGAAATTAAAAAATTAAGATTGATCTCAGTTATTACTTTGCTTGCAAATGTGGCAATAAGGGTGTATAAGCAGAAACAATCTGGGATTGTTTCAGAAATTGCGGTGGCCAAAGTGCCCAAAGAGACCAGCCGTTAGAGGAGGTCAGGCTGCCTCTGAGCCCAGCCCTTAAGACCCGCCAAGCACAACTGTTCCGCCTGCAACTTTGTCCTAAGACAGGTGCTTTGGGACACACCTTCTGTGAATGCTCATTCAAGACATGAAAAGTCTGTAGGTTTGGCCTCTGCCTTAATTTCGTGAAGGAGAAATCGCCATAAGAATCCTAGGGCTGGAAGGGACCTCGGAGTCCTTCTAGCCCAACCTTTGTCCAAGGCTTGGACAAATATTTTCTTGAAAACCTTCAGCAGTGGGGCATACACAGCTCTGGGAGGCAAACTGTTTCGCTGATTAATCATTCTATTTTCCTTCAAAGCTAGTTTGTGCGATGGCTTCAAGATAGAGTCTTTGCAACAAACTCCTGAGTGGAAGCATCGGTAATTCCCTTTTGCTTCTTATCGGGGACTTTGGGGCTGCTCTGATGCCAGTTCTGCGGATGAGTTCAGCAAGCAAGCAGACATCTTGCATAAGTTCTTCAGTCTTCATGCGGCCCTGCAGGAAAAGAGCTGTCAGTGGGATTTTGAGGTGCATTTTCACAGAAGCTCTCTCCTCTTTTCTTAGATGCATCCATTGGGACTCTGCAACAGCAATGATGAAGAAGACTTATATGAATATGGCTGGGTTGGAGTTGTGAAGCTGGAGCAGCCTGACCTGGAACCAAAACCCTGCCTCACTGTTCTGGGCAAGGTAAGGAGGGCACAGCACTTCCCTTGTAGCATGTTGCAAGCCTTGCCATCGGGTCCTGGCTGGGGGAAAAAAAACACAAGTGGTGTGGTGGTTTAGGACTTGCTCCAGAGCAGCTTTCTATTCTGTTTGACCCTGCAGCTCAGTTTTGCATCAGTCACAACACCCCAGTTTCAGCCTTGTAGAACCGGTGCAAATTGGCCAGTGTTCGGGTGTCCTAGAATTTGTAATAGGTTTGCTTTAACAAAGACCCTTTGGCGGACAGCTGAGCCAGGACAGCTTGGCTTTTGGAGATGCGTTTAGAATGAGCCACTCGCCTCTGCTCCTAAGCTGCTGGAGTCGCCTGTCTGCTGCCCACTGCCCCGAAAGTCAAAAGTCTTGCTTGCCCCATGCCCTCTCTCCATCTTGAGCCACCTCGAGAGACCTTGGTACAGAGGCAGAGAAGGAGGGCCCAGAGGTTTAAGAAGAGATTGGACAGCCATTTGTCCGGAATGGCACGGGATGCCCTGCTTGAGCAGGGGGGCTGGACTAGAAGACCTCCAAGGTCCCTTCCAACTCTGTGATTCTTATTCTGCTTAATGGCTCTACTTGTTTTGCTTGGGGAGAGGGGCTTCTTTCCCTCTTGGGGGGCAGGCAGGGTTTCCGCCCTGCCCTCTGCTGGGAAGGAGACGGAGGGGCTGGGAGGCTGCCTCCTGCTCTGGTATGTTTGTGGCTTGGCCGCTTTGATCTCCTGCCAGGGAAACCTGGAAGGTCAGGCCAAGCTGCAGCTAAGCTCCGGAGACCGGAGTCCTGGGGAATGCTGGAGCGGAGCCCCATCCTCCAGGCTGCTGCCAGTCCTGAACTGAGGCCTGTGGGGTGTAGGGGTGTCATTTCCTGAACCAGGCACTAAGAAAGTCCATGCGCTGCCCCCTTGGGGGTGGGCAAGAACAGTGGAAGCTGAGAAGCTTGCCTGTCCCAAGGGGAGGGTCCTTCTAACTGCAACATCCAGTGGCTCAGCACCCTTTGAAGCAGGCAGAATGCCGAAAGGCTGGGCCTCTTCCACAACAGACAAAACGCTGGGTGGCCTTCAGAGGAGACTGAGGGTCTGAGGGTCTGCAGCACTGAATGAGACCCACTCTGCAGATCAGAGCTGGAGACTTCTTAAGGAATTCAAAGGGAGGGGCGGGGAGGCTAGAATCTGGCTCAGGATCCAGGCGGGATGGGAGGCCTGTTAGCCTCAAATGATGTGCCGGCCGTCATTGTCTAAAGTGTTTGGCCCTGGTCATGAACTCTCTCCTGATCAGGGTAAGACAGCTCTTTTTTTCCTGGGGGGCTCTGGATCACCACCCCCAGTCCCAAATTACCAGAAGGGGAAGAAGCAAAGAAGGCTTCCTTGGCTCAAGGTTGCCCTCTGGTGACCGTAAATGGTAGCAGGCGAAGAATGTTTGTAGGGAGTATGTGCTGGTGAAGAGTCTATATGCTTTGTGGGCACTTCATTACTTCTGATGCGGCCCCCTTCCCACTGACTCCTTTTCTTCTCCCCTCCAGCCTTTATGTTGTGTTGAAGAAAGGAAGGGAGGGAGGCAGGGTGCTGATCTTAGGCCCTCTTCCCCTCTGCTTTGTAGGCCAAGCGGGCAGTTCAAAGAGGAGCCACAGCTGTCATTTTTGATGTGTCCGAAAATCCAGATGCCATTGATCAGGTATGCAGTTTGTGAGCTCCCCCCCCCCTCTCTATATATATACATACATACATATACATACATATATATACACACACACATATGTAGGTCTTTGGTTATTCGGGTTTTCTCCCGTGTAAAATTGGAAGTGTCTTGGCAATGTTTCGACAAAGTCCCATTCGTCATCTTCAGGCTGGTGTTTTCGGCTTCGTGCATGGGAACAGAGGGTAGAGGAAAGCCAACACTTTAAGCATCAGCAGCACTAACGAAAAATACTCAGTAAAGATTCTCACATATTATTGGTGCCCACTTGGCTAAAGAACCCTAAATAACAAGGGCCTGCTTTGACCTATAGAATAGAATCAGGGTTCCATAAAATGGTTGCTGACCCAGAGGAAGCCTATTGTCTGTCTCCCCCCCCCCATGAACTTTGGAAAGAGGGAGAACAGCTAGCCCCGTGTACAGGGTTGCATGATCAGGCAAATCTGTTTCGGCACGTGTGCCTGAGATTTTCTGCTGCTGAGCCATAAAGAGCAGTTTGAATTGGTCCGGCTTAGAGAACCCCTCCCAGGAGCCCAGCTTTGCTTTTTGCACCAACTGCAGCTCTGGACTCGTCTGCTCACGTAATCCTAAAGGCTCTGCTGATTGGGAGAGTGTGTCTCCTTTGGGTTCCTGCCCAGCAGAAAGACATTGGGGACAAAGGCATTCACAAAGGTGTCTCCTTTCTTGCAGCTGAATCAGGGCTTGGAGGACCCACTGAAAAGACCAGTTGTTTATGTGAAGGGGGCAGATGCAGTCAAGCTGATGAACATTGTTAACAAACAGAAAGTGGCGCGGGCCAGAATCCAGCACCGTCCACCACCAGTAAGTCCTCAGGGCAGGGCTGGTCCAGTTAAGTGACCAGACTGCCCCTTACCTTAAGTTTCCACATCCAGCTTGCAGTCATTGCCTCCCCTATTTGTAGGGGGGGAGGGGTTCTGGTAGGTCATTTGATGACCCTTAGCTCTAGCTCCTCTGACAGGCTCTGAGGCGCCCCTGGACTGTATGGCCTCCAGCCTAGCGGAACAGTTCTTTAAAGAGTATTTTCTCCCTGAGGGCCATTAAGACACGTCAGGTTGTGGTGCTTTTAAGAAAATCCAAAGAGAATCCAGACAACGATCAACCATTGCTCACTGTGGCAAAGGGAAGAGTTAGAAAAGGCAGGTAGTTCGTCTCTGGATTCCCAAAGGAGGCTGTGATCACTCTAAAGCCAGCAGAAGTGGTCAAGGGAGGTTTGATGTTTACCAGATTTTGAGGGTCAGTGGACCTACAGGGTTGGGTGAGTGGACAGAGGCATTACCAAATCTTATGATGATGGATATTCAGAAAGTTTGTCAACCAAACTGCCTGCTCAGGCTTTGATGGAGAAAAGAGCAGCTGGAATGGAGGATGACTAACTACGAACAAAGATGTGTTTTCAAATATGCCCAAAGGAGGAACTCAGAGAAGTAAGATTTTGGAATGCCTAGTTCCCTTTCAGAACGTAAATCTCTTTGGCCTGGCATTAGATGGGTTGTCTGGCACCACGTCTAAGGAAGCTTCTGCTCTGCTCCAGGGCTGTAGTCCTGCAGGTGCAGCTTCTTCCCAGAACTCATTTAACCCTAGCGTTTTTGTACTTGCTGTGAGAAGCAGCGACATATGGGAAACCCAGCTTTGCTGTGAGGGATTTTTAGCCGAGCAGTCTCTGGGCACCAGATGGTTCTATCCCTAGTCTCAGGTGACCAGTTCAGAAATTTGAGGTGGGAAATCTAATCTGCCTTTTTTATCTCCTGCTTCCTCCACCCCCGGCTCCAAAGCAACCCGCTGAATACTTTGACATGGGGATTTTCCTTGCCTTTTTTGTGGTGGTCTCTCTGGTTTGCCTGGTTCTTCTCATCAAGATCAAATTGAAGCAGCGTCGCAGCCAGGTAAGAGCCAGGCAGACCCCTTCAACCTGGTCTTTTCCTTTTTCTCCCCCTCCCCCTGCCCCTTCAGTGCCACCTGAAATCTCAGCTGGAGGTTTCTGGGCAGCATTATCAGCTGTCCTAAATAACAGCCTTGCAGGATGGCCTCAGATATTTGGGGCTGGACTATTAGCTCCAGGCAACCTGGAAAATGTAATAAGATATGGAAGCTGTAGCCTAGACGTCTGCGGGGCACCAACTAGGAAAAGCTGTTGCTTCACTAGTCCATTCCAGGCAGTGAGTTGGCCACCTGAGCCAGGCTGGCCCTGGTTGCCCTCTGAGGCTGAGGCTAAGAGCTGGTGCCGCTGGCCATCGGTAGCCTCACTGTGTTGTCTCTGGTCGCAGAGCTCTATGAACAGGCTGGCTGTGCAGGCGCTGGAAAAGATGGAGACGCGGAAGTTCAAATCCAAGCTGAAAGGGCCCTGCGAAGGCAACTGCGGTGCCCTGGACACGCTCAGCAACGGCTCTGCCTCGGACTGCGCTATTTGCTTGGAGAAGTACCTGGACGGGGAGGTGAGGCACTGGAGGAGGCTGTTCAGTACAAGTCTTTTTAGCTTTTTCTGTATTTCTGGATGGCGTGGGCAAGATCAGCCAGCTGGGGGGGCTCGTGTCCCTGCTCCATCGGGTGGGACTCACAGTGAGGGATTGCCACTTGCTGAGCCCTCTGGGTATAAGGAGAGGCCTCGCCTACTCCCCCTATCCCTTTGGGCACCTTCCTCTCGCCTGGACAAGCTAAGTGGTGTGTGTTCTGGGCAGCACTTGCCTGGCAAGCTCACAGCAAGTTGTGTGAAGAAACTGGGCAGGAGCCTTTCAGCTGTGATGTTGCTCCTGCAGGAGCTGCGTGTGATTCCCTGCACCCACCGGTTCCACAGGAAGTGTGTGGATCCTTGGCTTCTGCAGCATCACACTTGCCCCCACTGCCGTCACAACATCATTGGTGAGTTGCTGGAGCTACCCTCGGCCGTGTCCTTGAAGGAAAGGATGGCGGTCTAAACTGCCAAAGGCTCATCTGCCACTGGTAGATGGGCTCTTGGCTGGCAGGCAGTGTTTGCCTCTGGGGAACTGAAGTCGACTCTCTCCAAGTTTGGTTGAACAGCCCCCTCTTCTTTTACATGCAGAGCAAAAGAAGGGAAACCCCAGCCTGGTGTGTGAGGAGACGGCCAGCCAGTTACACAGCCGGCAGCAGCAGCAGCAGCAGCAGCAGCAGCAGCGCATGATCCTGCCTGTTCACTTCCCTGGCCGAGCACACAGAGGTGGCCATGTCACCGCCTACCCCACGCGCACCAGCATGGACCCTCACGGGAACCCCATCACCGTCTTGACAGTTGATCGGCATGGAGAGGCCCCGGCCTTCTTACGGAGCTACCCGCCCATCCTGCACCTGGAGCCTCACCTGGGCACAGCTGAACGCCAGCCCTGTACAATGCCTCATCCTTTCCAGAAGCCAAAGTTCAGCGGGGACCCTTTCTCCAAGCCGGCTTGCTTCTCCCAGTATGAGACCATGTTTCAGCACTACTACTTCCAGGGCCTCAGCTACCCTGAGCCGCCACAGAGTGGACAGTTCCCCCTCCACATGGCTGCCAAGGGCCCCCCCCCTGCCTTCCAGCCTCTCGCCAGCCACAGGCTCTTCCCCCCTGCGGTTCACATTGCCCCTTCCTCCCAGCCAGAGAGTGGCAGAGCTTCTGGCCTCAGCTGTTACCGTGGCCACCGCTCAATCTGTAGCGGCTACTTGGCCGATGGTCCTGGCAGTGACAGCAGTAGCAGTGCTGGTGGCCGCTCTGGCCGGTGCCACTGCTCCTCCAATGACTCCATGGTGGACTGCACAGAGGTCAGCAACCAGGGGATCTACGGGAGCTGCTCCACTTTCCGCAGCTCGCTGAGTAGCGACTACGACCCCTACGTCTACCGCAGCAAAAGCCCCTGCCGGAGCAGAGAAAAAACCAGGATCCTCCATGGGGAGATGATGCTTCTGGAAGGTTCCTCTGCACTGCACCTGGTGGCAGACAACAGCCAGTCTGGGCCAGCCGCTACAGCAAGGGACCAGCTATCTGACTGCAGCCTTGAAATGAATTATAGCAGCAGCAGCAGCAGCAGCAGCAGCAGCAGCCGCTCTTCGCTGGAGCAGAAGGAACAGGCCTGTACCCTCTCTGAGCGAGGAGGCCCACGGCTGCACCCCGAGACCACTGGAGAGACAGGTCAGACTGGGAGGGAGCCTTGTGACCAAGCGTGTGGCTGCTGCTTGGAAGTACATGCTGCCCCAAGGGAATTGTCAAGTACGGCAGCTGGTGGCGGCAGCAGCACGCCACTGCAGGGCACGCCACTTTGGACAGGGGGTGGCTCTTTGCGAGAGCCCCAGACAAGGAGAAGTCAGGGCCTGGTCAGCATTAGGACACAGGGGGTCCCTCGTGAAGCCTTGCCCTGTTACTTCTACGAAGAGAAGCGGGTGGCCAGCAGTGGCCCCACCTGGCCAGGCCGTTACACGGAAGACTGTGCGGTGAATGTTCGATATGTGTGTGCAGAAGACCCCTTGCCGGGCTGCTATCCGGGCCTGCATGAGATGGCCCAGTGCATTGCCATTATTCCCGAAGTCCGGGACTCTGAGCTGGCCCTGCCAGTAGATTGCTATAGCGGCAGCAGCTCTTGGGAGACATCATGTGGAACAGCAGCCCCCAGCCAGGCCCAGGGAACGCCCATGAAGGCATTTGGAGAGCCAGGAGAGATACGGCAAGAAGGGTCATGCCCACCCATGGTGGGCTTCCCGCTGGAGGAGTCCTGCGGGCTCTTTTCCAACCCTCTGCAAAGTTGTTTGGAGGCCGTGGCCACTGGAGAAGGCCCTCAGACTTTGGGTAAGTCAGCAGCGCCATCTTGGCTGGAGGCGAGGTGGGTGGAACAGGGAGGGAAGGGGGATGCCTTTGTTCAGCCATGCTGGCCAAATGCCTCCCAAGAGCTGCAACGTGCCGATCCAGGCTTGTTTTAGCCACGTTTGGGCTTCCTTGAGTCTCAGAGCAGTATCGGTGGCAGTGGGGATGGCCTAGAGAGGCAGTTGCTCGCATTTGGTGCTGGACCAGCACAAGATCTGAGCTTCGACCTGAAGGGGCTAGGAGAGGGGATGCTTGAAGAATGCTGAAGAACAGTTTCATTTTTTCGGGCTGCTGTTCCCCAGGGTGGTGTCAGGCTGGGAACTAATAAGAAGAGGATGGTCTTGGGGCAGCTGTGCTTCCGCTGGACTTCAAAGCCTTCTTTTGCTTGTGTTGACACACGACAGGAGTGATCCCGAGAAACTCAGGCGGTGCAGGGCATCCTTGGCAGACCACAGAATCCCCCACAGCTGCCGCCTGGGGACAAGAGGCCCAGTTACATAGCCTGGTGCCCTCCTCCTGCTCTGTCAGGGGATCCCACCTGCCTTAGAAAAGAAATGGCACTTTGAAATAAATGGAGTCCGAGGGGCGGAGGCCGCCTGCCTCTTCATGCAGGAATGCAGACCTCTCCCTAAGCCCCAGTGGAGGCCCAGTTGAAACAGTGCCTTCTGTCTAGCCCGATGCTGCAGTTGCCGTGGGCTCTGCCCGAGCCCTGTGCCCATCTGCTCGCCAGCCTGCCCAGGGTCGAGACCTTCGGCTGAGGTCCCTCCTAGTCGCCCCTGGGGTCCAAACGTGTTGCTGTTTCCTTCCCCTTATTAATAGTTTCCTATGGAAACAGCCCTTCCGGCTGCTGCAGCCACAGCCACGTGGTTCCCTAAGGCCTCCTGCCCCCCCCCCGCTGCGGCTGAGACCGCGACCACTGCCATGTTTGGCTTCTGGGATGCTGTTCCTGTTCCTCTGTGTGCCTGGCTGGATAGTTGGGTGGAGAGCTTTTTTTGTTTAAAAGAGAGAAGTTGCCTGGATTCCCCCCTCCACGGTTTTAATTTGTTAATAAGTCAGGATTAGCAAAGGTACTTTTACTGAACTTTTCATTTTCTGCCCAGTTTATGAAAAAGGGGATTTTATAATGAAAAGATTTCACAGTTATTAGTTTATTGTATGAGAGTGACATGATGAACTTCCTTTCTGAGCTTTGGTCCTTCTCATTCTAACAGTGTGTGCTTGTGCCCATGCTAATATTGTGCGTTTTCCCTTCGGCAGCCCTGCCCTTGTGGCTTCTGATCGTGCGGAGGCTGGTTAGAGTAGCTAGCCTCAAGCAGGAAGCCCTCCTGTCCCACCTTTATTAAGGCTTCTCTTACTGCTTCAGAAATCTTCCTTCTCATCACCAATATGTAAAATATATTTTACTTCTATTTCTGCTTCCCTTTCTGGTTATTTACTTCAGTCAGAGGACCGTGTAACTGGACTTCTTTTCTGACAACAGTTTCCATCTATTTTCTAAGGCTTCTGCCTAGTGAAGATTTCTCCAAGTTCTACATAAAATATTTTAGTGGTTGTGCCTTCTCTCTGAGCAGCACCTCCAGAAGTGATTTCCTAGGCACCAAAAGGCCAGATTCTTAAGATCCATCCAGTTGCCTAGTTACTGTATCAAAATTCGCTGCACCTCTGTTCCAGGGATTGTGATTCCCAGATGTGTTGTCCAGTTCTCCTTGGCTGGAGAATGGAGTGTTTTAACTCACAAGGTGGGTGGAGCACTGCATCTCAAGAATTTGCTCTAAGTTGGTGTTCCCTTGTGCAGTTCCCGCTTGGGTTTGCAACTGGAGGCAAGGGAGGGGTTCCTAGAGGCTAACCAGCTTTTTTTGGCACAGCTGGTATTTCTCAATCCTGATGGCCTCCGTGCACCGGTCCCCCTCCCCCACTGAAGCTTAGTAGCCAGCACTTGCTACTTTGGTGCCTTTTCCCACTCTTCGTCCTACCACACATACTTTTTAAGCAGCCCCCGTGGTGATGCCTGGTCTTTGTAGATACCTGGGGAAGAAGGTTTTACATGGTTGCAAGTTATAGCTGGCTTCCTGGATCCAGTGTAGATGATATCACTGGAAGGGAAACATCCTCTTTGTCTCCGGTAGAGGGAAGAACTACGATGGGGGGCTGGAGGTGAGGGGGGAAGGCAAAGTCTTCCCATATCTGTTTTTGGCTTTGGGGGTTGAAGATAGAAATAAGAGCAATTAACCTGCCAGATGTTTCCAATCCCCATTTCTTCCCTCATTTTTCATTTCTGAAAATAAATGCATTATTGAAAATTGGCCCTATTGCAGCTTAATGTTGGGGACACAGTCTTGTGCTGGGGTCCTACGGTATATATGGGCTGCAGGCTCTGAATTGTTCACTAGGATTGGTACATATTCAGTGTGGATGCTTTTAACGCTTGGCATTTTGTAGTTCTTCCGGCTGACTTACGTTTTAATTCTTATCATATACCTGGCACACAGTACAAGAGCAGTGCTTCTTTTCTTGGATCTGTATGGTTAATTCTGTCCAGACCTGAAGCTATAGAGCAGCACGGGCCTTGCTATTCAAGGAGACATGCTGCCTTTCTTCCCAAACTTCCAAAATCTTTGCACAGATGCAGAGATGACATTCAAAGGACTACAGAGAACCCCCCTGCCCTTCTGGATGAGTGGATGACCAATCCGAAACTTGCCCTAACCTTCTGGTTGATAAGCATCCATGAAAGTGAAGGTCTAGAAGTAAGCTATTGGCAGAAGTTGGAGCTTCCTCGACACAATGTGAGCTCTCTTTGACCCCCTACCCACCACCCCAAACTTTTGTGTGTGTTCATTATCTATCTTTTATAGAAAAAGTAGTTTCATGTTGTCTATTGGGCATCCCTTCATGACAAATTTTTATAATGGTCAGTACAATATATGTTTTAATTCTAAAAGGCCTTTTTATCAAAGTAATTATTGCCACTATGATGGGCTTGTGAGGCACTATTTTCAAATAAACATTTTTTTTAAGAAAATAAGATTTCTGTAGCACTTAAACTGTTTTGTATAAAATGTACTGTAAAAGTTTGTAAGATGGTTAAAGGGCTCTTCTTCATTACCAGTTGTATTGTTTTTAATGGTAGAAAACAACTTGTTTCTATTCTGTATGTATAGCAGCACATTTCATTTATGGAAAGATGTTCTCAGAATATTTATTTACTAATATATTTATCTTAAGCTATGTCTTATTTGAGTGTGTAATGTTATAAAGAAAAATCGGGAGTCACTAACAGAAAGCAATGTAAATACAGATTTCACAATGTTTGCTGACCAAAAAGTGATTTTAAATCATATTGTAGCTCTGCAGTTTTATAACAAAATGTACAAATGTATGTTTAAAAACAAAAGCTTTTAAAAAAATCGACTGTCTTACCTCATGTCCTTTTCTGAACATTGGTGGGGAGAAGCAGCTGCATCCCCAGCAAGAGGGGAAGCCTGGATTCTGTCTCTCAGGTGGATCCTGAATGATCATCCTGTGAATCGATCTTGCAGGCCACTCCTTTTGGCAGAGATGGAAGGATGGATGGATGGATGGGGGGGAGCGCCAAACCCCAAACGGCGCTCAATTCCTCCGGGCTTGGGCGAACAGTCCATCTGGCGTCTCCTGCAGGGACAATGCCGGAGGGCCAACATTGTCTGGTAGCAGCCACAGCCCGCTGGCGGGCACACTCTGGAGCTCTGCAGCCCCCTGCGACTACCGGGCCGGCCCTCCAAGAGCAGGCGCAGTGTGAGGCCTGCTGGATGCGCCTGTTCCATCCCACCGTCTGCCTTTGCTCAGTCACGCTAGGATGCGGCAGGCGTCCAGCAGGCCAGATTGCATGCCTCCCTCCGCGCCTCTTCCTTCACTTGGTGTTGGTGCTGCTGTTGCGAGGCAGGTAGCAGGGTAGGGATGGCGCAATAACGCAGCCCCTGCATGATCGGGCACATCACCCAGGACAACCATAATGCTGATGCGAGTTTTGACACCCCTGATCTAAGGTAAGGTACGGCTGCAGTCGATATCAATGCTAAACAAGGGAATAAATTGCCAATGCATAGAAAGTATAGAATAAGGCATAAGGTAAGAACGCATCTCTTTGGCCGAGTTTTTGATTTCTGAGCAATCCTCTTGTTTAATTTTAAGAGCGATTTCAATTGCATTAATGTGGTTTGTAGATTACAGCGTTAGCGTTTTATGAAGCACTTTGATGGTAGAAGAAACAAAAGCTGCCAAGATATAAAATAACTTAGAAACAAACATACCCAATGTAAAGTTAGAAATAGCTATAAACATAGATTACATCTTAAACCTTAGCGTACTAAACTCTAGGAATAAACATCACCGTAAACCAGATTTTGAAAATGGTTAGTGTTAATTGTTGTCCACCCTTTTAAAATAAAAAACACAAAAGCATAACTGTAACGGCGCCTCTTGCAACAGCAGTACTTTTGTTTTTTAAATCATCAAGTGGAGCAACCTTATGCCATTGAAATCAGTTCAAGTTAAGTATCAGGATAAGTTTCAGGTCGAAGCTCGGTCAAAGAGATGCAAGATCACCCTGTTCTTCCAGGGTCCCGTCGCACAGTCCGGTTAGCTGTGCAGACAAGGCCCTTTCCTACGGGCCTAATGCTTTCCTTTGTGGCCGGGGTGGTGGTGGTGGTGGTGGTGGTGTTAGTCAGAAAGGACTTGCAGGGCCATCTTAGCAACAGAATCCAAAACGGAAAGGAGGGTACGAGACAGGTAAGCGGGTAGCTTTGCAGCAAGCGGGAGGTAGATGAAGCCCAGGGTGGTTCCGATAGCATTTTGGGTCCTATCGAGTCAGCACTGTTTTTCCGAGCACAGGGGCAACTTCGGTACCTGTGTTGCATTTGACTTTATCCCTCTTTTGGGGCAAGAAGGTCAAAGTTGAGGGGTCAGGTCAAAGGGTTAGGGTTTTAGGGTTAGACTTAGGGTTTTAGGGTTACGGTTAGGGCAGGGGTAGGCAACTTTGGCTCTTTTATGACTCGTGGACTTCCCGTATCAATCTTTTTTATTAATTTTTCCCATCAACATATGTTAATTTTTCCAATCAACAAGTTGCCTGGAGTTTGCTAAGCTAATACATGTTCAATTCCTAATCCTTCATTCTTTGCTCTAACCAAGAATAAAATAAATTCCAAATTTGATAGCACTCCGTATGTACTTTGTATGACCTGTGGACTTCAACTCCCTTATTAATATTAGGCCATCCTAGGTTTTCTTAACTAGGTTTACGGCTTTTGAAGCAGATTTCTTATTCCGCGCCTGCGTTGTAGCCAACAGGCCTCCCCTGGCCCTATTAATAAGGTGTTAATACCGTTAATAAAGATAGAGAATACGGTCATTTTAAAATGCCATTAAAAAGGTTTATTTCTTTGGGTGGCCGCAATACCCATTTTTGACTAGAGGAGGGCACAGTTTTCTGTCCCATAGCTTTGGCTTGGAGTCCATCCTAAGCCTTTTTAATGGCCTCCATCCTATAGCTAAGGCAGGGGTAGGCAACCTTGGCTCTTTGATGACTGGTGGACTTCAACTCCCAGAATTCCTGAGCCAGCCCTGCTAAGGGACGGAAAACTGGTCAAATCAGATACTGCGGCCAGAAAAATAAATAAACCTCTTTAAGATGATTATTCTTGATTATTAAAACCTTATTAATATGAATAAGCCACGATAGGCCTTAACTCGGTTTAAGATTGGAACCAGGATTTCTTCTGCGCCCGTGTCGCACCGACCGGGCCCCCCGTCGCCACGTTAATATTAATAATAAGGCGTTAAGAATAAAAATAGAGAAGAATAAGCTTCAAATGCTATTAAAAAGTATTTATTTCTTCGGGCGGCAGCAGTACCAGTTTTTGACCACAGGAGGGCAGTGTTTCCCGTCCCAAAGTGTTAACAGGGAGGCCGTCGTAGGCCTTTTGCCCAGGATCGGGACACCGAGAAACTAAGCCCGAAAGCGCAGAGCGTCAGCCAAAGGGTCGCCACTCTATGCTCCTCCGAAAGGGACGGGCCGCTTCCCTCGGCCTTCTGCGCATGTCGGCCGGCTGGTTCTTCTCTGGACGGCGGGCTTCCTGTCCGTCGGTATCGGCCGTCCCCCAGGTGCTGGGGTAAACTACTTCCGTTCCTTCGTTCTTAATCCTTCCCCCTACTTCCTTTCGGGTAGACCTCCTCAGCATGTCCGACTTCCTGTCCGCGCAAATTCGTCGTCCTCCAGGGTCGTTGAATTGCGACCTTCCCAATAAGGCCGATTGCCGGTCCGTACTTCTTAATCGTCCTTCCACTTCCTTTTTTTCGGGGACCTTCTGGGCAGGCGGACTCCACGTCCGATCAACGAGGTAAGTCTTGAAAACCCCATTCAAAAGACTTATTTCCCTTGGCGGCCGCAATACCCGTCCCATAGCATTTACCATCGAGGCCACCGTAGGCCTTTTCCACGGCCTCAAGGCCGCTATCGCTGAGGGAGGGAAAACAGTGCCCGCACGTGGCCAAGCCGGGTATAGCAGCCACCAAAAGAAATAAACCTTTGAAAATGGCAAAAGGGCCTCCCGTCGCCCTATTAATATTAATAAAAGGTTACTAATAAAGACGGGGAGGAAACAAATAGCGTTAAAATCCCATTTAAAAGCTTTATTCTTTTCGGCGACCGCAGTACCCGTTTTTGACCACAGGAGGGCAGAGTTTTCCGTCCCGTAGCATGACCACCGACGACGACGGCGACGACGTTCCCAGGACGGCCGAGTTCCTGTCCATCCGCCGAATTCGTCCCCAACTTCCTGTCCGTTCGCAGCACGGTTCCCTGCTTTTTCCCGTGCTCTTTTCTGCACTACGTTGACGGAGCGCACGTCTACCGGCGAGGCCTCAGGAAGGAAAAAAGGAAGCCTGCTACTGCCTCAGGTGAGCCGAGCCATCCCCGCATTTCCTGATTCCAGAAACATACCGGCTTTCTCTGTTACCTAGTTACGGGGATCCCCACCTTCCCCCTCCCCCGCCTCCTCCCCGGCCACTCGTTTGGTCCTCTCCCCTAAGATGTCCGCCTGGCCGTTCCTGGCCTTTCGCCGCCGGCGTCTGTAAAAATGCGACCGAGAACCGGTAGCGGCGGCCCGGCCGGAGGTTGTGAGACCTGGTCTCTTTGCGCTCTTTCCCTTTCAGCTATAGGGGCTAAATTGGGAACGTAGAGACGAAGTTAGCTTGTTTTAATAACACACTTCGGGGTCGTTTACGCGAGCTCAGCCGCGACTTCTTTTTAGCTCCTTTTTAGAGGCGGGGCCGGCGGGACACGCTCCAGGCTTTTGGCGTCCGGGTCGGGAAGGGGGTTCCGACCCGTCTCGGGGGTCTCCTCGAAGGCTGCCAAGCAAGGCAGCCGTTGAATGGTGTTTTCCCAGCACCCGAGTCCCGGATGTAGAAGAACCAGTCGTATCGCGCTTCCCTGTGTTACACCTTAAGAGATTGCTCCTAAAAGTGCACCCCGCTCGCCCCCTTCAAGCAAATCCAGGTGTTTTTATTCAATAATAGTTTTATTTGTCCTGCCCTGCTATTTCTTTAAGGAGATCATACGTATGTAGGTTTGTATTTAGGTTTGAGGTTTCTAAACTATATTTCTTAGAGATCCCTATGTATTAATCTAGGTGCAACATCAAATCTCTATTTGAAATTGTGTGCATTTTTATTAAGAAACGATCAATATAAAAATAAATGCAGTTTATTTTGCAAATGTGTACAACCTATCATTCCCTTCTAGGTTTATCATTTAAAGGATGGATAAAAGGGATGAGACGTGAGAAGCTGCAACTAATGGCTTTTATTATTTTGTTCACCGTCCATCTAACTTTGTAGACCTTCGTCCAAAACAAGTCAGGGTTAGGAAGGATAGGAGATTCCTTCCTTTCCTCTCCAGGTTGCCGTAAACAGCCCACCCACCGCCCAGAGGTAAGAGAAAGGGAAAGCAGGTCTCTCTGGGGGCAGCAGCAGACCCGGGTCTTTGCAGAGTCCGGCTTGCAATTTTGCTAACTTCCCCCAGTCACAGCTGCATCGACTGATGTAGCGGCCAGGAGGAAGGGTGGGGACACCTGCTGGATGAAAGCTTCAGCCTTTTGGGAAGAGGCAGTGGAGGAAGGAGGTCACGCTCCCTGGATTTCCAGCCTAGAGCCTCTGCCGGATGGGTGACACCCCCCCCCCCTTGGTGTGGCTGTTAAGAAGGAATTGGGGGGAAACAGGTAACTTGTCCTTGAGGATTTCTACCCCCCCCCCTTTTTTGCCACTTTCAGTGAGGTTAAGGCTATTCCTTTTAAAGAGACAGGGATGGAAATGGAGTAAGGTTGGGAGCCCAGTAAAAACCCCAAGAGGAAGCGGGAAACAGGGTGGGAGA